CTGGCTGGGGGATTCTGGGAGTTGAAGTCCACCCCTCTTAAAGCATCCTGGCTGGGGGATTCTGGGAGTTGAAGTCCACACCTCATAAAGCATGCTGAGTGGGGAATTGTGGAAGTTGAAGTCTGCCCATCTTAAAGTTGCTGAGTTTAGATCATCTGCTCTCCGAACTAACTAAACCAGTATCGGCAAAATACGTTGAGGTATTACTAGTGGGAATCCCAACCCACGTAGAAAAAGGGTGAGTGAGATGGGAGATAAGTTATTTAGTGTCTTCTGCATGGCCAGCATATTTACTTGCAGGTCATGGGTCAGGACATACCAGCAATACTCCACATCCAACTCAACAGCTGCCTCTAATCCACTTTCTGGGAGAAGAAATAAAATAGCTTTGCAGCATCTCAGGCGGTTTGTATTTCCCAGCAGGCATAATGTACATTCCTTCAGGGAAACCCCAGCCGGAGATGCTCTCTGACTTTTGATGTGCAGCTTTGTAGATTTCCTGTGGGGCTGGCCCATATTTGTCCGAGGTTGTTTGCAGCAACTAAACCAGGGTTTTTCAACTGTGGCAATTTTGAGATAGGTGGGCTTCCACTCCCAGAATCCCCCAGCTAGCATGCTTTAAGAGGGATGGGCTTCCACTCCCAGAATTCCCCAGCCAGCCTGCTTTAAGAGGGGTGGACTTCCATTACTGGAATCCCCCAGCCAGCCTGCTTTAAGAGGGGTGGACTTCCACTCCCAGAATCCCCCAGCCAGCCTGCTTTAAGAGGGGTGGACTTCCACTCCCAGAATCCCCCACCCAGCCTGCTTTAAGAGGGGTGGACTTCCACTCCCAGAATCCCCCAGCCACCCTGTATTAAGAGGTGTGGACTTCCATTCCCAGAATCCCCCAGCCAGCCTGCTTTAAGAGGGGAAGACTTCCACTCCCAGAATCCCCCGCCCAGCCTGCTTTAAGATGGAGGACTTCCACTCCCAGAATCCCACAGCCAGCAGGCTTTAAGAGGTGTGGACGTCCACTCCCAGAATCCCCCAGCCAGCCACGCTTTAAGAGGGGAGGACTTTCACTCCCAGAATCCCCCAGCCTGCATGCTTTAAGTTGGGTGGACTTCCACTCCCAGAATCCCCCGCCCAGCCTGCTTTAAGAGGGGCGGACTTCCACTCCCAGAATCCCCCAGCCAGCCTGTATTAAGAGGGGTGGACTTCCACTCCCAGAATCCCCCAGCCAGCAGGCTTTAAAGGTAATCCTCCACTTTCAGCCACTTGTTTGGCAAGAGCATAGAAAAAAACCCCGACTTACATCCGCTCCTTACCCTGATGGCCATCGCAGCATCCCTAAGGTCACGTGATGGAAACTGCGAGTGAACGATGAACTCCGCAATGTTGGACTGAGCCGGCTCTCCGAAGCAGGGAGCCGAAAGGGCTACTGTCTTGGCACGGTGGGGGAGAGGTTGGAACCGGTTGCTAACCACTCCCTGACCTTAATTCGATCCAGTCCTCCAGCTGCGTTAGGAACCATTTTAGTTTCTGCCTGAGCCAGGGCCAAACGCAGCCGCATCCCCACCCGTGCCAGACCGTTCCTGTTTCCCCGGTTAGGAAAAACTGCCATTTCAGGAGAAAAACGATGCCTCAAAGAGGGCACCGAAGAGAGCCTGGAAAATCCTCTTCGTCTGCCATTTGGCTTTGCCATTCTGCTAAAAAAAGGAGGCGCTGAGCAGCAGTGGAAGGTTAGGGAGCGAACCACGAGGTCCTCAGTGCTCTCTGAGCTGGGTGGTTTCCTTGCAGATGTTGCGTTACCCAACTGGGTACCGATAGCAATGCTAGAAGGGTTTGTAGGGGTGAAGAGGAGGAGGAGGAGGAGGAAGAGGAGGAGGAGGAAGAGGAGGAGGAAGAGGAGGAAGAGGAGGAGGAAGAGGAGGAGGAGGAGGATCGTGGCCTCCTTGGTGTTCTCTGAGTTTGGTTGTTTACTTGCAGATGTTTCATTACCCAACTAGGTATTATCATCAGTTCTAGAAAAGGAGGAGGAAGAGGACTGTGGGGACCTTGATGCTCCCTAAACTGGGTGGTTTTCTTGTAGATGTTTCATTACCAAACTAGGTAGCATCAGCAGTGCGAGGAGGAGGAGGAGGAAGAGGAAGAGGAGGAGGGCTGTGTGGTCTTTGGTGCTCTCAGAGCTTGACTGTTTCCTTGCAGACATTTCAGTACCCAACTAGGTAACATAATCAGGGATAGAAGCAAGAGGGGGAAGAAGAGGATGGGGGAGGAAGAGAAGGAGGGAGAGGAAAAGGAGGAGGAGGAGGAGGAGGACGGTAAAGTCCTTGGTGCTCTCTGAGCTTGGCTGTTTTCTTACAGACATTTCATGACCCAACCAGATAATGTCATCAGTGCTAGAAGGGAAGGAGGAGTGGGGGAGGAAGAGGAAAAGGAAGAAAAGGAGGAGGAGGAGGAGGCCTATGGGGTCTTTGGTGGTCTCTGAGCTTGGCTGTTCTCTTGTAGACATTTCATGACCCAACTAGGTAATGTCATCAGTGCTAGAAGGGAAGAAGGAGGAGTGGGGGAAAAAGAGGAAAAGGAAGAAAAGGAGGAGGAGGAGGAGGCCCACAGGGTGTTTGGTGGTCCCTGAGCTTAGCTGTTTTCTTGCCGACATTTCATGACCCAACTAGGTAACGTCATCAGTGCGATCCACGTTCAGAGAACACAAAAGATCTCTCAGTTCAACCCTAACCTGCGAATATTCCGTTTGACAGAAAGTAAAGTTTAGGGGTGATTCTCCAGCTTGGAATGGGCAGCACGGACAGGGGACGCTCCAAAAGGATTTGGCGGCAGCAGGGGGGGGATGAAGTTGGTGCAGAAAATTATGGGGCGTTGTAAAAGGGGGCATTTGCTAGGTGAACCCCAAACCTTTCTGTTTATAGCATTTGTGGGACGGTGCCTATGTTAGTCGATAAGAGTCCAAAATCAGGAGGAGTCAGAGAGCATCCTCTCAGACCAATATATACATTCATTTATATTAGATTTGTATCCCGCCTTTATTACTTTATAAACAACTGAAGGCAGCAAACATACCTTTCTTCGGAGGAGAAAGATTTTCCGATTTTCCCTGCCTACAACAACAACCTTATGAGGCGGGCAGGGCTGAAGAAGAGAGAGGCTGGCCCAAAGTCACCTAGTCAGCTTCCATGCCTAAGACAGGACTAGAATTCACCGTCTCCTGGTGATTGGCCTAAAGTCAATCCCTCACTTTCACAGCTAAAGCAGGACTAGAACTCACCAGCTCCTGGTGATTGTCCCAAGGTCACCCAGCTGCCTTTCATGCCTAAGGCAGAACTAGAACTCACAGTTTTCTTGTGATTGGCTCAAAGTCACCCAGCCAGCTTTCATACCTAATAGAACTCAACATCGCCTGGTGACTGGTTCAGAGTTCCCAACCTGTCTTTCATCCCTAATGTGAAACTAGAACTCACAGTCTCCTGGTGATTGGCCCAATGTCCCCCAGCTGGCTTTCTTGCCTAACATGAGACTAGAATTCACTGTCTCCTGGTGATTGACCTAAAGTCACCTAGCTTGACTTTCAGGCCTAATATGAAACTAGAATTCACTGTCTCCTGGTGATGGACCTAAAGTCACCTAGCTGACTTTCAGGCCTAATATAAACTAGAATTCACTGTCTCCTGGTGATTGACCTAAAGTCACCTAGCGGACTTTCAGGCCTAATATGAAACTAGAATTCACTGTCTCCTTGTGATTGACCTAAAGTCACCTAGCTTGACTTTCAGGCCTAATATGAAACTAGAATTCACTGCCTCCTGATGATTGACCCAAAGTCACCGAGTTGGCTTTCAGGCCTAAGGCAGAACTAGAACTCACCATCTCCTGGTGACTGGCCCAAAGTCCCCCAGCTGACTTTCATTCCTAGTGCGAGACTAGAACTCACAGTCTCCTGGTGACTGGCCTGCTTTCACACCTAGGGTGGGACTAGAACTCACAGCCTCCCAGTTTCTGGCCTGGTGCCTTCCCCACTACCCCAAACCGGCTCTCCGATTAAGCCGTGGCCCACCCGTACGACCATTTTTAGCCCCAATTCATGGCCCCCCTCTGCTCGTGGGCGCCTTCGCCGCCCCACTCCACTGTGAAATCAGAAACTTGACTTTGTTGTTGTAATCCAGAGTATTAACCGGGAAGGGGAGAGGAAGTGGCTATGGTACAATTTGAAATTTGTCTATCTTTCCTTCCTGCTCTCCCCCCCCACACACACCCACACTCCACAGCTGATCTACAATTGTGGTTGCAACACCCCCCAACCTCCTGCAAAAAAACAACAACGAAAAAAAACCCCATCCTACCCCTTTGCAACCGAAATCCGGTTACGCATGTTGGTTGACACAGCAGCTGCCCGCCAAATGTTGCTTGCAGCTGTGAAGGTGACCGAGAGATTGCACAGACATTGTATTTCCTGGTGGGGGAAAGGGGATCGCATGGGTGGAGGGGCTAGAGGCTTAAGGGACAAAGCTCAGGGCCTGAAACTACAGCCCACCCCCCGCTAAAAATTCCCAAAAGAGAGTTTGGAAAAGGCTACACTGACTTGAGTTTTTTTGCACTGTGAAAAAAGTTTTGGATTCTTAAACAAAAATGCACGTTGGGAGACAGGCAGACCTCAGCTTAACATCCCACGACAGAGCTCCAAATTGCTGCTGCTAAGCAAAACTGTTGCTGAGTTAGTTTTGCCCTGTTTTACGACCTTCCACGCCACCGCCATTAAAGTGCATCGCTGCAGTCAGTAACGTGTTTGTTGAGCACATCTGGCTTTGCTAGTCAGAAGGTCGCAAAAGGGAATGACGTGACCCCCGGAACACTGCGGCCGTCGTAAATACAAGTCAGCGGCCAAAGCACCTGAATATCGATCAGGGGGCCACTCAGAGCCACAGAGGATGGACTTTGTAATACTTGAAACATGGTTTTTGTAATACTGTTGCACAGACTAACGCACCTGGATTCTCTTGGATTTTAAATCTGCTTTTCAATTTAAACCCGTGTTCATTAGCCAGTGCAACGGTATTACAAGAACCATGTTTCAAGTATCACAAAGTCCATCCTCTGTGGCTCTCACCAAGGGGATGCTGCAGCCGTTGCAAGAATGAAAAGTGGTCTAACTTTGGTCACTCAACAAGCTGTCAAAAGTCAAGGACTACCTGTTTAAGCTAGGCAGCTGGTGTGGTTTCCTGGTTACAGTCCTGGGAGGGATGTGGATCGCATTATGACCCCCTCTTATATTTGGGGGGTTGAAATCCAGGGGCCTTTCCTGCTTTCTTCCTCTCCGTGCACCCAAGAAAGGTAGATTCATATGATAGATGATTAGGGGACTGGAGGCTAAAACATACGACGGACGGTTGCAGGAACTGGGCCTGGCTACTTTAGGGAAGAGAAGGACCAGGGGAGACAGGAGAGCAGCCTTCCAATATTTGAGGGGCTGCCACGGAGAGGAGGGGATCAAACTATTTTCTAAAGCAAAGGGAAGGAAGGAAGGAAGGAAGGAAGGAAGGAAAAGAAAGAAAGAAAG